GAGAGGACAGTTTCATAGGATGTTAAGGGGTTGGAATGGAGCTCAGAGATCCTCCAGCCCCAACCCCTGCCCTGGGCAGGGACACCTCCCACCAGAGCAGGTTGCTCAAGGCTTTAGCCAACCTGGCTGTGAACACTGCCAGGGTTGGGGCAGCCACAGCCTCCCTGGGCAACCTGGGACAGTGTCTCACCACCCTCACAGCAAAAACTTCTGCCTGAGATCTCATCTCAATTTCCCTCTTTCAATTTCTCCCCATTGCTCCTTGTCCTGTCACTGCAGTTCCTAACCAAGAGTCCCAAGCTGCACCAGTGGAGGTTTAGGTTACACATTAACAATTTCTTCCCAGAGAGGGTGATCAGACTACCAGTGGAGGTTTAGGTTACATATTAACAATTTCTTCCCCGAGAGGGTGATCAGACATGGAAATGTGCTGCCCAGGGAGGTGGTGGAGTCACCATCCCTGGAGGTGTTTAAGGACAGACTGGAGGTGGCACTCAGTGCCATGGTCTAGTGGTCACGGTGGTGTTAGGTCATGGGTTGGACTTGATGATCTTAGAGGTCTTTTCCAACCTGATTGACTCAGTGATTCTCATGTGCTCACACTGTCTGTCACCTGTCACACTGCTACAGGACAAGCACCAGTGTTAACTGGTCACTCAGTTCCCATCTCTTCCTTATCCAAACAAGCACTCAGTTCCCATCTCTTCCTTATCCACACTGCTGTTACATGCTTTCTTGTGATCCAGGCAGAAAACTCAGTATCTGAGGCCATTACACTTCCCTGAGCAGGATCAGTTCCACCTCAAACCCAAGGAATTGTCAGTGAAAAACACCACTGCGCTCTCTGTGTGTCCTGGCTGTACAAAACTACCAGAGAGAATAGATTCAACCACGTCAGCCTTGGGCAGGGGCTGTTCCCTCACCTCTGAGATCTGTTTTGACTGTAACTTGCATTGTAAAGTCAATCTCACAGGGTCTCGAAAGAGCATTAAGCAATTAGCCTGAAAAAGCCACAGGCTCATTAAAGCAGAGCACACTGACCCAGGTGTGAGAAAAGACTCTATAAACCTCAATTTCCTCAATCACACACAGCTTCTGCCCAACTTCTTCCTTCCCAAGCAGGGTAATTAAATGGAATCCACACAGAGTTTATTGGGACAACCCTGGACAGAAAATCTCCCACTTGCCATGTCCTGCCTGGGAGCTAACAGAACACAGGACAGTAAAGGAAGAGAAAGAAAATCTCAGATGATGGCTTTTTTTCCCCCCTGGTGTTCCAGATCCTTTTTTATGTTGGGCCACCTCCTATCTGGTTCTGAAGTTTAAGGCTGACTGTTCCCAGGAGTGTTTCCGATCCCAGTGGGTGATGGACACCTGAGCTTTGCCTGGCAGTTGGAGTGGGTGACTGTGAGTGGGACAGGGCAAGCTCGGGCAGTGAAATCTCAAAGTCGAGTTGGGACTGCAAGAACTGAGTCACACAGTTTGCCTTCTCATACCCAGAAACCCCATCCTCCTCCAGATGTTCTCACCAAAGCCACTTCCCTCTCTGCTGCTGCTCTCAGGCTCTCACGGTGAGGAGGAGACCAAAAGCAGCAGC